GGAATACTAAGTTGATATAATATAACTTTTATAAAAGTATATTGAGACCCAGAGAAGATTATACCTATGACTATTTAAAAATTGAAGCTTCCAAGAACTTTGCTATTGACATGAGCAGACACAGATGAATATTATACAGATGAACCATCAGAATTATAGTACTTCTCAAGCCTTAAAAGAAAATCTAAAGAGAACCTTCCTCAAGAACGATTTATAATTATATATCATATTTCGCTAATATCTCTGCAAATACTGAACATAAAAAGATAAAACATATACTATTATACTCGCAATAACCTCCTATACAACTTTCATTATGGTATATCTTAATATGAAAATACTTCTCTGACTCACAAAACGGCTCTGAATGATTCTATCGGCATTTTCAAAATGATTTTCTTAAAGAAGCCTCTAAGAAAGAAGAGAAACATAGTTCCAGCGATTTACAAAAATCATCATATCTCGCTCCTTACAGGACCAATTTTAACGTTTCAATATGCGTTAGAATAGTAAGGACTTAGTCTACAACTTTACTTAAGATACCAAGTTAAGGTTATATAGAACGAATATGCCTTCAGAACAGCTTTTGTGAAAATAATCTGCAAAGTATCTTTTTCCTTACTGTATCACATAGGCGAAAATTTTTAGAAATTTTTTCTACCTCCTCCATGATAGATAACCTCCACAAAACTTATTGCTTTTAGGTTACCACATACTTATAGTAACTAAAGAAAGTGAGTTTTATAGACTAAGAGCAACCAAACTCTTGGATATCACATAGAGTTGAAACAACTTTACCTTAGACATGTGACTTAGACATGTTTATATTCTTGTAGATTTATGATACTAGATAATACTTATACTCAACACTATTGTAGATATAGACCCAGAACTTTATGAATATTATTTTGAACATTCTATTTTTAATCTATTTACATCAAGACAGTTTGCTACTTCTGAGCAAAAGTGAACTGATGGTGAGGAATGTCTCTACCCTTTGCAAGTAGAAAATGCATAAAAAGACTTACAGTTTGTCAATTCTGAGCAAAAGGTGACTGATAGTTTTTATGTTGCTACCCCTTAAAAACATAAGGAAATATAATTTAATTTATTAAGCTAAGAAGATTCTATCAAGTACTCTTGAACATTAATACTTGAAAAGTTCAACTATATACATATTAATGAAAAACTTTAAATTTATTTCTATAAGTATTAGAAACAGATTTTAGATTTTCTAGAAGTAATATGTCTGAATAATAAGGATTCCTAGAAGTAATATCTCTGGATATTGCTTGCAGCTTACTACAACCCTACAGGATGAATAATGCCTGATAGACGAGTACCCTATAAGCCAAATGTGTAGGCATAAGGACTCTTAAAGCTCATAGCTTACTGCAACTCTATAGGATGAATAATGCTCTAATAGATAAGGTTGCTAGCCGTAAGTAATAGTTACGGATATAACGAATTACAACCTGGGTTATAACCCAAATTACAACCAGTACCCAAAGTTGTAATATTGTCGTATTGCTATAAATGTCATAATAGTTATAATTGCCGTAATGGGTGTAATTACTGTAATTTGTTGATAGCTGTAAAAGGTATAATTAACTATATTTACTGTAATATGCGCAACAAATATATATAAACATTCACGACTATCTTGTTTTATAAATTACATAAGTGCATCGCAATCCATTTTTTTTTGTTATTGTAATGTTAAAACTATCTTAATGATAAGCTATGATTGGAACACTAAATTTGGCTTATCTACAATCAGGATAATAACTTGTCTGGCTTATCTTTAACAAGACAGGTTAATTTGTTTAGTGTAGAATAAAGTTTTTGGACTTCTTGCACTATACGTGTCTAGTAATATTTGAACCTGTTCAATACTAGCAGATTCAATGTATTTTATTATCACATAATAGAATATTACACAAATAGAGCCTAATCGAAATTAAAGATCGAAGTCGTAAAATTATTAGAGAAATGTAATCAACAATTTTATATTGAGTAGAATAGTAAAGGATGAAAGTATATTTCATAGTTTAAAGCAGATAAAGATATTTGTCATGTTTTTAACGGCTGGTTATAATAACAATTATTTAACTTCGTGGTAACTATTTAAACTTTGATATACTGTAAAATGCTTTTGTTTCATGTTACCTTTATAGTCTTGAAATGATTTTTAAAATTCTTTTTTTTGGAGGAGATTTGTTTTTTTAAATCTAAAAGTAGATTTCGATGATGATTCTCAGAATTCAGATAATTGGACATATATAACAGGATGCATACCTGATACATCAACTTTTAAGTAATTGTCAATTTCAATATCAATATATGGTAATCAAGAATAACTTTATATTTGTAATCAAATATAGTAATTCAAGATTTTATATGGTACATAGGAACGAATTAAAATTGATATTTTTAAATAATGAAATAAATGGATTCTTTAATGCTTTGCGATCTTATGAAAATTGATATTTTTTTATGATTATTGTCAAGAATTTGAAAGTATTAAAGTTTTACAAACCTCAATTTAAACCAATTTGGCATTATAATCTTGTTGAATCTAGTTTGTGTAAAGTGACATGGATATTTTGTAATTCTTCTATAAAACAAAATGCTTTTTTTAAATATACGTATAAGTTTCAAATAATAGAGGGTTATTAAGAGTAATACTATAATATGTAATTAAATAAAACTGTCTATATATCATTACAAGTAAAAAACAAGTATTTAGATATTAAATATATTGGTTATATAAAATATCGTATTAAAAATTAACTAGCAAATTTTTAAATCATTAAAAAATCATAATTTTCTAAAATGATTAGACAAAAACGAACACACAATAATGATTCAAGTGATAGTGATACTGAATCCAGAAATTCTAGTAGTTCAAAATCGGGAGGACATCCACTAACTGGTGTTTGGAAATATTTTGAAAGAGGTCAATCCAAAGGTGATGGTCATTGGGAGGGAACTTGTAAATATTGTAAAAAATTTTATCCACGTGCCAAACTACAAACTTTACGTGCACATCTTGCTAATAGTTGTAAACATGTTCCTGAGGAGTGGCAACGCCATTTTAACTATATAATTATCAATAATTTGGATGATATTCCAACAGATGAACCTATATCTGATGCTGTTTTGTCTTTAGTCAAACGACGAAAAAAAGATAAGCAATCTGAGTTAACTAATTGGTTTGATTCTACTAAAATTGAAATATCTAGACAATCAATGATTGATAAAGCAATTGCACTAGCCTTTATTATGTGTAGTATTCCCTTTCATGTAATCAACAATCCATTTTTTGTAAATGCTTTAAAGCTTTTAAATCCTGGTTATAGTGTTCTATCACGTGAAATTCTTTCAGGACGTTTATTAGATACTGAAGTTGCAAAAGTTATAGATAAAGTTAATAAAATTTTAGACAGTAATAATCATCTTACTATTGGTCTTGACAGTTGGACAGCTCCTAATGGGTTATCAATTTGGAATTTTGTTATTATAACATCATCACGACAAGAATACCTCTATGAACTTGGAAACTATTCAGATTAATCACATACTGCAGAATTTTTAGCTAACCAAATTGAGCAAATTATAAGTCATATTGGTAAAAATAAAATTTCAGCAATTGTTAGTGACAACAGAGCTAACGTAGCATCTGCACGTCATATAATTTGCTTAAAATATAAAAATATTATGAATATTCGGTGTATAGCTCATTGTTTTAACTTAATTAGTAAAGATATTATTAAACATACATTTGCAGAAAGAATGATTCAGCGTGCTAATAAAATAGTAGGTTTTTTTAACAAATCTTATAGAGCTGCGACTATATTAAAACAAAAAATTTTACAATATCAAGTTAGTGGTGGTGGTCTTAAAACGTATATGCAAACCAGGTGGACAACTGTGTATGAGTGTATTTCTTCAATCATACGTCTTAAAATTTGCTTAGAAGAAATTCAAGAAAATTAATCAGAAATTATTAGTCCTGCTATTTTAACAATACTTCGTAGTCGAGGCTTTTTTACTGATTTGCAATATCTTTCAGAGGTTTTACTTCCAATTAAAGATGCAATTTTAGTAGTTGAAGCAAATCGTTCTACACTTGCTGACTGTTATATTAATTTAATAAAAATTGCTGTTGCAATTCAAAACCTTCCTTCTGATGAATATAAAGGATTTCGTAATTATTGTATTAGAAAATTTAATAATCAGTTTGAAGAATTTAATGATCCTGCTTATCAGCTTGCATATTTTCTGCATCCAGCATATAAGGGTATTGGATTAAAATTTGGTACGTTTCCTTCAATTGCAAGTTATGCTAGAACGTTGTGGAAACAAATAGGTAAAACAAAAGAAAGTTGTGAAGCTTTAATAACACAATTACGGATTTATAAAGAACAAAAAGAATATATAAATGGAACATCAAATCCTTATGTAGCACCCTATACAATTGGTAATGATACACCATTAATGTGGTAGAATACATGTGAAGCCTAACCTGACTATTTACAACATTTGGTTATTAAACTTTTTTCTATTACACCGAGTTCAGCTATGTGTGAATGGATGTATTCAGCACTAGAATGGATTTATGGAAAGCATCGGACCAGACTAGACGTAGATCGGTTAGAAGGGTTGGTAAAAGTTTATCGATTCAATTTATCAAATCCTACAGAACAACTTCATCATACTCAAATAGTAGAAATAACTCCTGATATGATGATGAATATTACAGAGACTGTTTTTAAAGAAATTGAAGAAAAGTCAACAGAAGATGATGATATAGAAATGCTTAATCCTACTAAAGATCTTTATTCGAATGAACAAGATTTAGATTTAAGTATTTCAACATTTATTGATCTTAAATCTTCAGTCTTTACATCATCTAAAAATAATTATGAAAGTGAAATTTTAAATGAAATTGAGTCTGACAATAACGATACACAAGAAAGTGAATATGATGTTGACGAAATTGTTGCTACACAATTGGATTCTAATTTACATTAAATACTATATAAAACATGGTAGGTAGTTTTATAAATTCTAAAAAATAAATACTATATAATATCATTTCGCTAATCTATTTAATTATGTCATATATAATAACAGTTAAAGAAAACCTAATCTTGTAAAAACAAATTTTATTTTACTCCCATTCTATTGAATATACATTTTTATCTTCACTTTATTATTGCGTTGATATAAATATTTGTCATAAATATCCAAATTAAAAGTCTATTATGTACTTATTATCGCTTTATTAAGATCTGTTATAGTTACTATGTACACGTATATGTAAATAATTATCAAACAAGAAATTTATCCGTGAATATGCACACATGAACAAGCTACTCTTTAAAGGCTTGATAACTTCTTGGTTTATTAAAATCATTATGTTACTATTGGATGCTACTGTGTTGCAGTACCTGCATATCAGTACTTAATTTTATGTATTTTAAAAAGTTCATACGAATTATTTTTATATACCGGTTTCTTTCAAAATCACACTAACCAAATCTGTGTTTCTTTGATATTATTTTTACATTGAAAATATAATTGGGATAATTTTGCGGCATACCAAAATAGCTCCAAGATTTTTTTTATTTATCGCAATTCTTTTTTCTAATTTAGTGATGGTTAGTAATTCAATATTTGGGTCTGGAGCAGGATTTTCCCTTAATCGGATATAATCTTCTGTTACCAGTTTAGTCTACATTATGCAATTATCTACATATGTACTGGGTACTATATACATTACAACATTACGCCCATTACAACTGTTACACCTGTTATATATATTATGGCTATTACCACTATTACGGCTATTACAGCTATTACAACCGTTATATTTATTACAACTATTATATTTATTATGACAATTATGCTAATTATGATTATTACATCTATTACAGTAAAACATTACAACTTGAAGGCAAAAGTTGTAACTTTACAACTTTGGTAAACCTATTATGGCATGCAACCTTACTAATAGACGAGTACCCCACGAGCCAAATGTATAGGTGTAAGAACTCTTAAAGCTCACAGCTTACTGCAACTCTACAAGATGAATAATGCTTTGATGAACAGGTACCCCATGAGCCAAATGTGTAGGTGTAAGGACCTAATGTTATTTTGGAAATAAAAATTACAGATTAATATTTTTGATATTTGGAATATACTACAACATCTACAACAATAATTTGCATCTTTAAAATTTGACCTCT